CATTGGCTCTCCCTTATCATTTGGAGAGTATGCTTTTTGCACCATACAAAACCATGTATTGTGATAATGAAGATATATTTTGAGGATGTATTTTATTCATCTTTTAAATCTTATACTTTCGTTAATCATGTATATAGGAGGAGCACCAAAACATAAGGAATAAAAGACTTGATTCCGATGGTGAAATATATATGTTAACATGGGAAGACTACAAATCGATGTCATTTACACAGAATGTAAGTCGTCTCTTTACCCGTTTTCCCTTCGATTCGTGTTTTATTCGTTATATTGAAGACTCTTATTACATGTTATTAATAGAACTATGCGTTTATTTATTATGATCAACTTTAATCTGCATTCTGAAGGAGTTTCTAATTATCTATTGTTACATGAAACATTTGTATAGTTAATTGTATAAGCACATATCATAACCATTATTATTTTCACTTGATGCAGGTTATCGATGAAACTCTTCGCTTAGGTGGGATAGCAATTTGGTTGATGAGGGAGGCAAAAGAAGATGTTGAATATCAAGGTATATTTATTTTCACTTCAAGTTTTATATAACTACCATAAACAAGATAAAGTCACGAGGTGTTGGATTGCTTATTCGAAATGTTTATTGCTTATTACGATTTGACATCTATAATATATAATATAAAGTTTTAAGTGTTTAGATATAAAGATTTCATAAGTACTTATCTAAATAAGGGGTTTTAGATAAATTATTTCCTCGTTGCACTTATAAACACAATTTGTCTTATATCGCAAGCATTTTTTACTAAAAAAAATATGAGTTTTTTTTAAATAAGCAATCTCAAACACCCCATTAGTATGCCTTACTTGGTTAATTTATGTTGTTACATACATTGGTTCCATTTCTTTCATAAGAATATGATAATTCAAAAGCAATATCTCATGCTCGCTCATGGCAATTACTTGGTTAATTTGCTTACGACGTGTAGATTACGTTATCCCCAAAGGAAGCTTTGTGGTTCCATTTCTTTCGGCAATTCATCAAGACGAAAACTTTCATGAAAAGGCAAATATTTTTAATCCTTGGAGATGGATGGATCCCCAAAACCATGTAAGTTTTATATATATTTCATTTTATATATTTTGTTACACGTGTACTTTTCCTTTATACCATATTAAGAACCTTAGTTATATTGATAAAAGGACAAGAGAAATTGGAGAACTAGTCCATTTTATTCACCATTTGGAGGAGGAGCTCGTTTGTGTCCTGGGGCAGAGTTGGCACGACTTCAAATCGCCCTCTTTTTACATTACTTTGTTATTTCTTACAGGTTTGACTTTGTTTTAAAAGCTTTAATCTTGGTTGGTATGTTTATGCATTCATGCATATATATATATATATATATATAATAATATATATATATATATATATATATATATATAATATATATATATATATATATATATATATATATATATATATATATATATATATATATATTAAGAATCCAACATGACAAAATCATTTACTTGTTTCAGGTGGACCCAAGTTAAGGAGGATAGAATGTCATTTTTCCCATCTGCAAGATGGTTAATGGATTTCCAATCCAACTAACTAAAATTAATTTGGCATCCTCTATGTAAATGTGTCTACGTGGGTAATATATATATATATATATATATATATATATATATATATATATATATATATAATATATATATATATATATATATATATATATATATATATATATATATAAAGGAAGAGAACCTAGGACTAAGTAATATTAAGTTATGTTTATATTCATGGATATACACAATAAGTGAGACCCTAATTAAGATGACAAAGCCTTATATACTTTGAGCACATTAATATAGAGCATCACAACCTTATTGATTTATTTAACTACACCGTATGAAAAAAGTAACTTCAAATATCAAATTCTCCGTAACTTCTTTTATTTCAACTACAAATCATTTGTATAAATTTACATAATTTGTGAAAGGGCCGTTTTTTTTATTAAGGGGGATTTTTGGGAAGCATGGGAGGATCTATTATGTAGCACCGGGTAACACATGTTACCCTTCAAAATTTCCCGCCAAATGCAAATTTAGTGAAAATTCATCGAAATCCGTCACAAATCCATTGGAAATTAGTCACAAATCTGTTACGAATCTGTTGGCAATCCATCACAAAGTTTAATAATTGTGAATCTAGTGTAAATTTGTTGGTTTCTTGACGATTTTGTGATGGAAAAGGGCTTTGGAAATGAAATTGTTTTTCTAGTAGTGCAACCTTAAAAATTTTGTGCAACCCTTCATTTTTTGTTTTAGATCCGCCACAGTTTGGGAATGTTTATTTTAAATGATAAGTGTTTTTTAATTTATTAGCTTATTGCGGTATATCAAAACAGAGTTTTTAAAATAGTGTTTTGATTAGTTTATACGATGTCAAAATGTTATAACTTGATGAGCATTATTTACTGTTTGGCAAAAAAAAAAAAAAAAAAAAAACTTCCTAGAAATTTGAAACTGCTATAAATTACAAGGAGTTTCGATAATTTTGGAGCAATTTATCAAATATAGTTTATCTCTAGTTATACATCGCTATAAGGTGTTTTTAAAAAACTATATATCCAAACACTTATTTTAACTTAAACCGGTAATATCTAATAGGATGTAAATATATGTGAGTTGCATAGAATAAAACTATATAATTAAACTTTTTACATAAACATATTGAAAATAATAATAAACTAATTATAAAATAAGATTTTTTAAACTATATATATATATATATATATATATATATATATATATATATATATATATATATATTAGTTTAAAAAATCTTATTTTATAATTAGTTTCGTATTATTCTCAATATGTTTATGTAAAAAGTTTTATTCTATGCAACTCACATATATTTACATGGTATTAGATATTACCATGCTTTTAGTGAAGATTTAGTAATTATTTCAAACCATATATATATATATATATATATATATATATATATATATATATATATATATATATATATATATATATATATATATATATATATATATATATATATCAATGCCTTATGCTAGCAGTCCATGTAAATGTGCCCCGACTGGTCTCACTTAAACAACCTGACTCAGTCGCACGTGAAGTTTCCTCATGTGACCTACCGTACTTGCCACATCAGCCTCGGCCCTGCTGGCCTCTAGAATGTGTATCAAAAGTCTTAAAATTCTTAGCTGGAATAATTGTAGTCTAAACCTACGGCTGCTACCTCTTCTTCTAAAGCTTTAACTCATCTCCCATTTCTGGGCCACCTCAATCATCTACTCAAGCATCGCACAACTCGCAACACTAAAAAACTCTTTGATGTCAGTCCTCAACATATTTTGATACATCGTCATCTTCATTTCTTTATCTATAGTATATTGTAGAACAAGCAGTGCTCTTTCCCTAAATTTGGTGGTGATCTTCGTCACCATCTCCATGGTCTTCTCAAGAATTTAGAACTCTCGGGCAAGCTTCTGCACCTCAATAGCATGTACATACTTTGACCTGAACCTAGTAACAAAATATGCCCAAGTCATAGCCTCAGTAGCCTTCGGTCCAAGAGCCTGGACCACCTCACCCCACCAGTCTCTAGCTCCCTCATGCAAAAGACATGCATCAAATCTGGCATTAGCCCCATCAAGGAAAAAGCTCGTCAGAAAACCTCTGACAATCTTAGCGGTCCATCGCATACTGAAAATGGGTTCCCTCTTCCCAAAAAACTCAGGATCCTTATAAACATGAAACTCACTGAAAGTAATCTTGTGAGCCATGGGCTGACCAATCCCCAACTCAGCCTGAATGGTCTACAACCACTCATCCGTTATCTCTACCAGCTCATCCTTGATTGTGCTGAAATACTTGGCAGATCCTCTAAAATGATCTTCGAAACCTTTACAATGATCAATTCGCGCAACCCAACATCACCCGATCCAAAGCCAAATCCTGAACCATAACCATAACCACCTCCCAGAAGAGTCATCACCATTCGTAAAATACAACATAAAGGGAAAAACATGCAAATAGTGTCATCCCACACTATTCTCTCACTACCAACTCCTCATAATCATTGTGACTCTCCTTGATTCAAGTACCGATCTTGTGCTTCCAATAGTACGGGTCAATACTATCTTCCATACCTATCCATACTTGCCCTAAAATTCATCCCAAGGCTCCTAGTTTTTATCATTAAAGTCACTATCATACACTCCCATGTATGACAACCCGAATTTTCTTCTGTTCAAACCATTAAAAATAAATCAAATTCGGAATTTATTTCTGCTCTTATCAGCATTATCTCAGGTCTAATTAAATATTCTAAACTCAGAACAATCGAAGTTTGGATCCAAGAACGAGTTTTTCCAAGTCAAAGCATAGAATCCGGGACAAACACCACTTCGAGAGGAGTGTACGGCCGCAAACTCGAGTTTACGGCCGTACATCCCCCACCCCACCCCTTGGCCGAAAATTCACCCCTAAATAAGGATGAGTGGCCTTCATTTCATACTTTACACACTCCAAAGGTTTTCTCTCTCTACCTTCATCGAAAACTCCTCAAGATCTTCAAGATGTAAGTGTTTTTTTTTTACCCTGATTGTTGCTATATTCCTTATTCTTGTGATGAATCCATGTCTCATCTCATGAATTTCATCTTTTCTAGATTTTCTCTCTCACCAAGAACACACACTAGTTCTTGGTGGCTAAAAACCTCATTTCAAGCCTCCTAAGAGTACGTAACTACCCCCTATGCTTGATATATATTAGAAATCATTAATTTTCACCTAAAAATCGACCCAAAACATGAACACTGAGGGTTTACGGCCGTAAACCCGTGTGTACGGCCGTACACCCTTCATTGGCCATAAACTCCATTTTTGGTCGATTATTGGCCTTAAACTCTTCCTTGAGTTGTGCACAAGGCCTAGAACTCTTCCAAGAGGCTAGAAAGGACCTTGAAACACCGAAAACCGCACCTTTCACTAAGTTTTTACGGCCATAAACCCATGGGTCGTAAACCCATGGACCGCAAACACTTGGGTCGTAAACTCATGGGCCGTAAACCCTGTTAGGCCGCAAACCCATAACCATACACTCCTAATTACGGTCACAAACTTCCCATCGTCAATCACGTGTGATTCTAACACTTAGTTTCAAGTTTTTCCTAGTCCCTAAGGTGGTTTGCTTCCATAAAAAATAGTGTTATGTCCTCATCTAATACATATATGTGCTTTCATATGATAAATAGGATTTCTTTGTGTCCGAGGCATTGTTTGACACCCAACAACTCTTACTAATTTACACTCGAATCCCACGTCAAACGGTGAGTTCATACCCCTACGCTTTTATAAGTTTTATAACATTCTCAAGGGGGAATACAAGCCAAACATAAATGTTTTCACAAGCTAAAAACGGATGCAATTACAACAAAATTTACATTAAACATTTAGAATATCTACCCCTTTTGTATTATGCGGAGCATAAGGGACGTTTTTCTTGTTGGATTAGTGTCTAAGCCCGTAACCATATTTGGTAAGTACTTGACCCGGTAGTGCATGGTCCTTTTGGGTTGCCTTCACTAAAGCAACTTGACTGGAGAAATAAATAGAGAAGGAGGTTATTATGATTTATTAATATGTTATAAGAATAATATATTAAGGATAAATCATATTTGTATGATTAATATTGGTCAATAATTAATTAGGAATTAATTTTGTGATAAAGTGTAATTAATTAAACTAGAGGGGTTGAATTGTAACTATGTGATAGTTGCAAAATAGGGGAATGGTTATCCTTGTTAAAGGTTGGACGAATTCAAGGGATAGGATATCCTTGAAATCGCCCAAAGGTCCAAGAGATAAGGGTTATCAAGGCTTATCTTGTCATTGCTTGGTGGGCAAGCAACTAGATAAGGATAAGGACTGAAACCCTAATCTCTACCCTATATAAAGACCCCTAAGGCATAAGAAATTGTCCACTTGCTTCTAAGAGATCCCAAGGCCGATTTCTACCTCTCCCCTTCTCTCTCTATAGCCTCTCCAATTGCTTGTGGTGTTTGTGAGCCATTAGAGGTACTACACTTGTGGTACTTGCTTTCAAGACTTAGGGTTTGAAGATTTAAGTTGTTATTACAATATAACAACAAGAGGTACGTGATCTAACCTTCTATGTTATTTTTCGAAAATAGTAGGCTACATTAGGGTTTTATCCATGTGTTCATCATGTTGTGTATCTAATAGTGAAAACATAGATCCAAATGATGGTTGCATGCACACATAGGATTGTTTGTATAAAACCCATCAGTGGTATCAGAGCCTTTGGTTAAATTGTTTTCAATTGGTATTATACAATTGTATGAACTTGATGAATTAGGGTTTATAGCCAATAAACCCTAGGAGGCGAGAAATTTCGAGATTATGAGATATGGCAGATGGCTGTCAAGACCGCTTTCCTTAATGGGAAGTTGGCTGAGGATGTTTACATGGCTTAGCTAGAGGGTTTTGTCGATACGAAGCATCCTAATAGAGTGTGCAAGCTTGAGAAGTCCATTTATGGACTTAAGCAAGCATCTCGCAGATGGAATCTTTGCTTCGATGAGAAAGTCAAAGAGTTTGTATTTGTACGAAGTGAAGATGAATCATGTGTATATGTCAAGGCCAGTGGGAGTATAGTTAGCTTCCTTGTTTTGTATGTTGATGACATACTACTCATAGGAAACGAC